ATCTACTACCAAATTTAACTACATCTACTAGCATATTTAGCTACATCATTGCCTCTGTTCTTCTGACAGTGAAGAGATGAACAACCTGAGAAGCTCTGAGGTGTATCAGTGTCTCCACAGTATTAAGGTCGGTGGTGTTTTGTTAAAAGAGGTGGGACACAATTTTATTGACCTTAAATCAGACACAGAGACAAAGCCTTAAAGTCCTCCATCAGTGAGCTTGGGTTCATTACAGAGAAAATCATAAACTGAAGATGAACAAATACTATAAAACTGTGACCTCCATACCTCCAATGACCTCTTGGTGGGGGAGTGGTGGCGCAGAGGTTAGAGAGGTGGGCCTGTGATCGGAAGATCCCCGGTTCACGCCCCGGTACCGACAACATCAAAAATGTGGGTGGGGTAGGTGAAACACCCACATTCGCCCCACTCTGGGCCCATGAGCAAGGCCCTTAACCCCCCCATCTGCTCCCTAAACAGGTTTCTCTTGAAAATGAGTTCTCGTGGCTCAATGGTAAATAAAGGCTAAATGAAAATACACCTGAAGTCATCCCTGATGTTCTCGTTGCTGTTTTCAATCCTTCCGAGGATCCGGCGTCTCTTCTCCGGTGGTTTATTGTCGTCCAGACACAAAGTAGGATGCAGGTTTTCCTCCGTCGGCCATTTGTCAACAAAGTGAAATGAGCTCGCAGACAGAGTTTTGGGTGGTCTCTTCAAGTTCACATTTTTTAGCCACATTCTTCTTAATTCCTCATCTGTAGGTAGAAGATGAAACTAAACCTTTTCACAGGAACTCTCTTTGTTTTGGTCCGTGTTCAAACTCTGTTGTTGTAGACACTGATTTAGTTTGGTCTGGTTGTTCTGCAGCCCTGAACACAACAGGTACCTGAACGCAGCACGACTACTTTAGTAAACTTTATGGTTGTTAAATAAATGTGAACAATTCAAAAACAAAGTTTTAGCTGATAAACTGAATGTAAATTACTTTAAAAAAACGTGATCCGTGCTCTGCTACCATGGTTAACCAATGCTAACTGCTACTTCCTGTCTGACAGGAAGTTGTACCCACAATCATTTAGACAGTAGAGCAACCAGGAATAAGGTGGATAGCACCGAACTAAACCTTCTCTGTGTGACAGAACCCGGATGTAGTCCTGGTCCACTACCTGAACGTGCCGTCTCTGGAGGATTCTGGGAAATGCAGTCCTCTGTTGTGCACCGTGTCCGACCGCCATGACAGCATGAGGTGGAGCCAAGACGACCTGCTGAGCCAGCTGAAGCCCATGTGTAGGTCACTGAGTTCGAGTCCACGTACACACTATGTCACGTGCACGCTGCTAACGTGCACGCCCTGTCAGTCCACAGCATGATGTGTTCACTGGGCTCCGAAGATTTCAGCATCGAGGAGCTGGTCCAGCACATCCTTGACCGGCAGAGAACCAAGCCCCAGCCACGCACACACACCTGCCTCTGTAACACCAGCCAGGGTAAGGCTGGGCTGTGATGTCACCGTGACATCACTGTGACATCACAGCTGACCGCAGGGTCCTGTCTCTGTCCACAGTGTCCTCAGGAGTCAACATTCCCCACCGCTGTAACAGCACCAAACACCGTATCATCTCCCCCAAACTGTCCTCCCCTGTCCCCTCTGAGCTGGGGGAGGCAGGTAGGGGGGTGGGAGAGCCCAAACTGCCCCACCTGCAGGCTCAGATAAGTCCCGCCTCTTCACCCAGCTCTTCCTCCTGGTAAGTCTTCCTCATAGAGACAGTTTGTCCTCACATGGGTCTGACCTGGTCTCTGTTCTGACACGGTCTGACCCGGTCTCTGCTCCACAGCTCAGCCTCCTCGCCCCCCCAGCCTCACCGGGCCACTCTCACCATGAGTAACCACGGTAACGGTTTCTGTGGCGACCGGCACAGTAACATGGCTTCAGTGGCGCTGCCTCAGAGCGCTGTCATCGTCATGGCAACAGCTGCCACCCTCCCAGGTGGAGGCGGAGCCATAGCTGAGGAGGCGGGGCAGAGGAGGAGCAGTGGCCCGTTGCTGCTCTCCCCCACCCTCCCTCCCCCTGTGAGGAAAACTGCCTCCCCATCACATCCGGCCTCCTCACCCACTCCCCCCTCCCTCCCCCCTCAGCCCGTGCAGGCCACACTCACCCTTCTCCCCTCCCCTGTCATTGGAGGCCTCCTTCTCACCCCCTCCTCCACCTCCCAACAATCTCCTCCTCCCTCCTCTTCCTCACTTCCCCCTTTCCTCCCCCCAGCATTCGACCCTGACTCCTTCTTGAACTCGCCCAAGCAGGGACAGACCTATGGCGGTCCTCCTCCCACCTCTTCGTCCACCACCTTTAACCCTCCCTCCCCCTTCTCTCACCCCTCCCTCTCTCTTTCCTTCTCCCCCACCATCTCCACCCCTCCCTCATCAGTTTCTCCACCCTCCTCTCTCTCCTCCCTCTCCCCCTCTGCCTCTGTCTCTCCTCCTTCCGCCTCCCTCCCCCTCTCCCTTGTCCTCACCCTGTCTCCCACCTCCTCTGTGACCCCATCCATCCTCCCCCTCTGCCTGGAGTTGGGAGGTCTGGTGAAGTCGGAGGTGGTGAAGGAGGAGGTGGGGATTGTTAAAGAGGAGGTGAAGGGCCCGACTGATGATGATTATGATGATGAAGGTAGTGCTCCGCCCACCAAGCTGGTGCTGCTACAGGTGAGCTTCAGACCTTGTTTTTGTTTGGGTCTACTTTCTGTGGGCCTATCCTTCCACTCACATCTTCTCCATATAATTTCTGTCATTTAGACAAGCCCCACCCCCTCCAGCCCATCTCCACGGCTAAAAACTGAAGACTCCGCCTCCCTCCACTTAATTTGTCAAGACACACTGAGTCAACCACCCCAGCTGACCAATCAGAGACAGGGACAGACTGATGGACAGCAGCTGTTGGGCCTGACTGTGCCTGAAGCTCCGCCCCCAGTCAGGATAACCAATCAGTCGTCAGTGAATTCTGTCACCAACTCCGTCCCCACAGATGTTGCCATGGTTACCACTTCTCAAGAACTGCTCTC